GCTTACCTTGCGCTCGCTCGCGTACAATCGCGCGTCAACAGAGCTCAGTCCGGCTAACAGCAGCCTTGACAGCGTTTGCGGTCGTCGGTGTGTCCATCTGCAGCTGCTTGAGAGGCCCAGGCCTACCGCTCATTCATTGATTTTTGACTGCTAGTGTGCTCTCATTATGATAACCCTCCCCCTCGAAGTCGAATATCGAATTTTGGCCCTCTTACCACGCTATGACGAGCGAACAATTCGCATCTGTGGACTCGTCTGCAAGGCCTGGCTTCATTTCAGCCGAGCAAAGAGATTTCCGGATGTTACCCTCACCCAAAGAAACGTCGCTTCATTTGTGGACATAATGGCGACATCCCTTCTCCCCGTTTACGACTTCATCCGCAGCATGAATCTGGAGTCTACCCTGACTTCGGAGTCCACCGAAACCGCCGATCGCTTCACTGCCCTCCGGCGACTGGGCGACTGTCCCAAACTGGAGTATCTTCATCTCACACTTGATGATTTTCAACTTGGGAATCATTCAGGTTTCTTGGGCTCCGTTTTCACCGATTTAACATATTTGAGCCTCACCATCACCCTCTCCCAGCACCCCAGTATCATTCTCGATGCCATCGCCTGCTTTCCAACGCTAGAATATCTCCAGATACGGTGCACCCCAGACAACTTCTTCGCCAACTATTCTATCCGAAGCTCATACGAGTTTCCCGCTAATTTGGACGAAGTGGAGATGGACGACCAGGATTTCTTCGCCATGATTTCAACCTTGGACAGCGTGCCCGTTTTCTCTTCAGTGACCATGCACTGGTGCTATTTGAGCGATGATTCTGGACTTGGCAAATACTTGCTTCAGACGGGCGATCAGATACACCACCTTTCGTTTGAAGCCTGCTCTTTTTCTGGTAAGGTTGCATCACTTTCCGAGTCCAAGCCAGCTTTATTCACATCTTGCTCTGGCCATAGATCTCGATATCGATAGTGCGCCTTTAAGACAGTGTACTGGATTGCGTAGTATCCGGTTGGAATCGGAGGACTCGAATTGGGACACGCTGTCCTGTTTGTTGATGTACCTCCTCAGTCTCCCCTCAAACTCCTGCTCTCTGACCCATATCTACCTTCGCGTTGATGCCCACTCCTGCGCCGTCGGAACGGAGCTTCCCGACACATCCGACCTCTGGCGAGCCATCGACGATGCCTTGAAGGCGAAGAAATTTGCGCAGCTGGAAGCATTTACGATCACTGGCCTGCCCGAACGATATTGGAAACCGCTGAAGGAGCAGCTGCTGGTATCCTCCGAGGCCCGGGGAACTCTTAGGTTTGGGAAGCACACGTATTCGTATTGACCCCTTTTACCTTCTTGGTCCATCCGCTCAGTTTTCTTGTCTATTTCGACTTTGTTAAACATGATCGTGCATAACGTAGAAGCAATTCGATGCGATACTTAAACTTTGGCAATAAACAATCATTTCGGTGCCTTGATCGCCCCCACACTTTCCGCACCTCCTTCAAGACGCTTTGGCTCATCGACAGAAGAGCTTTCAGCCATCTGCCACCTATTCCCGCCCTCCGTTGGTCTGTTCCAAACTCCCTTCTCCTTGGCCGATAGGCCGCCCACAGATCCGCGGGGCTCATGAAGTGATTGAAGGAGGATACTTATTACTCACTGCAAATATTTCGCGGTTTTCGTCGACCACAATGTCTACGAAGTTTCACTCCCCAAGCACGTCCACCCGACGGCTAGTCGCGCCCTGGTCGCTCGGAGAACCGAATGTGCGCGGTGTGCCTCCTCAGCGGCGATGGCTTCTCCGCGACTACGTATGACACAGTCGGTGGGTATCCAATAATGAAATTTCAACTGCAAACACAGCCGCAGCGCCGGAGGACAAGCCAGCTTCCAGGCTTTGCGCGAATGAATCGTAACGTCTGTTCAATTGCGGCGAGAGGTGGCCGCGCTGGCACTAATTCCCACGGTTCGAATTGTCTGAACAATGGACGGCACCGCAGGACTTTTTCAACCCCGCTGTCTTTCACAGCAGAAAATGCTCTGCCTTTCTAGTGAACTTCAATCCAAGCATCCTCCCAGACGATCCGAGTACCATTGAATGCCGAACATCAACCAAGACCGAGATTTGTTTGTGAATTGCAAGGTATCATTAATCCGAAATGTCCGTGTGTACACTCACACTAAATTATTCGTGCTACATTATATAAGTACTTTACAGCATCAACTTCCCAGCCGAGTTGAACTCGAGGAGGAGGATGGCGGGGCCAGCGATGGTGTTACCGTCCGCGACGGTGCCATTGCTGGTGGTGACGACGGCGTAGACCTGGCCCCTCAGGTCCATGGGAATGGTGACCTTGTTGTCGGCGCTGAGCGGCGCGTACTCGACGGCGAGGCCGGTGTAGAACGCGACGTAAAGCGGCGTGCCGGCGGTGGGGGCGGTGGCGGGCGTGTACTTGAGGTTAATCTCCTTGCCGGGGGAGTAGCGCGTGGTGGCGACGGTGAGGGTGGGGAAGGCCATGACCGGGAGCGCGGGGTTGGTGGAGGGGCAGTCGGTGATGAAGGCCGCGGCGATGGAGTAGACTTGGTTGAGGCCGAGGGGGACCTGGGTAAGATGTGGTGAGAAACGAATACTTATTGGATGAGAAGAAGAAGACGTACATCGAGGGCCCCACTCCATCCGGCGTACTTGTTCACCGCCGAGGCGACCCAGCTCGCGTGCCGTGCCTCGGTGGCGAGGACGCTCGCTGCCGCGGTCAAGTACTTCTTGTCGGTGATGAACTGGGCGGCGCCGATATAAGCGGAGACACCGACACCCTCGATGGCCTGGCTCAGGCCCGCGAAAGACTTGGGGTCGGTGTAAGGGCTGGAAATAATGAATTAGCACATGGTCGACAGTGTAGCGAAGGTGGACGTACAAGCTGTAGTTGCAAGGCTGAGTCGCCTTGTCGCCGAGGGCCTCGCTCAGGAAAGCGACATGTGCTGCCTCGTGCGCGGCAACCTGAGCGAAACGTCCGCGCGCCCAGCTGGGCAGCCCGGCCTTCTTGAAGTCGTGTTCGCTGAACTTTGCGAGAGCGTTGGAGTAGAACGAGTTTTCAAGGTGCTCCAGGGTGAGTGCAAAGTTCAGGACGGTGGTGTCTGGGAAGGATGTTAGTGAGTTGAAAATGGGTGCGGGAAAATCAAGTACCATCAATAGTGCTGTTGGTCGCGTCGGCGCGCTTGACAACCTCGACAGGGACGGCGGCGACGCCGAGAGCGAGAGCAAGGGTGGCAAACGTGGTCTTCATAGCGTAAATCGTGAGGGGAAGGTAGGAGATGTGGAGGGTGAGGACAGTTGATTGGAACTGTTGAATAAAATTGAGAAATGCGCTCCCTCTTTTATATGGTTCATTTTCAGCGTGCCGGCGGGCAACTCGGGAGCGGCCTATGTTAATCCTATCCTTCTCGCGAGCTTCCAGGAACATAATGACGAAGGTTGAAATGATATCGGGTGTTTCGGGCATCTCGATCGAGTTGGAAATGCAGTGGCCTTCTGGCACTCGCAGAGCGGTTCGAGCTCACTGGCTTGTATCAGGCCTATTATTTCCATGTAATTATGAACCAGGTCAACCGCGCAACACAGCGAGTGAGACGCGTACTTACTTTCGCGGCGAGGGGTTGCAGGAAGTTGAACGTCATGACGCGCAGAGCGATCGAGAAGATCCGTCGCGGAAGAAAAAGTGGTACGACTTTACATGGTCATTTTGCCAAAGTGTCCCTGATAGCGAGCGGAGCAAGAGTTGAATATTGAAGGTCATGCGACTTGAACGCAATGATTCAAGATGCCTGTGGAAAGGCCAGGAACAAGAAAGGTGGAGTACTTGATTCGACAGGAGGGGATCACAGGAGGCAGAATTTGGAGGGAGCCATCGAGCCCTCTGCGGTGGGTCAGACTTGGAGGCAAGGAGTGTTCCGCCTTTTTTGAATCGTATGTTCGGCGTGTGCGGCCGCTAACTGGCTCAGAGAGTGGCTGTGCTGCTAATTCCCACGGTTGAATTTCTAACTGATCAACGGTATGTGGCCGCTTCACGTCACAGCGCCGGTGCTTGAAGCTCGACAGCTTGCTTGGTTGACGGCGAGGGGCGCAGAGTCTTCCGTCAACGACCAGCATAAATATCCCAAGAGTCATCGCGCTGTTTGTCTTCTCCGATCCGGAAGGTTGCTTGGCGATAGTTCGGCTACCAGAGCAAGCCAGACCGCGACACATTGAGAGCTGATGAAGGACATGCTTCTCCGTCGGCCTGATGGTCTAGTAGTATGATTCCTTGTTAGGGTTTTTCACTGTTTCGTGAATTGCGTTTCGAGGAGGTGCCAGTATACCAGACTTGAACTGTAATGAAACCAAGCTCATTTGCAGATGGTCTGCACCCACATTCAATGGGACTGGGATAGCGAAATTGTATATGTGGGACCCCGTTCGATTCGGGAGATGGGCATGTCGATGTTCCCCACCCCTTTTTTGATCACAATGCCAGTTGTGCTTTAATGGCCGTGAGCGTTGAGGCTTTTTTTTTGGTGCGAGGTTTTTATTGCAAGTTTGCACATAATCACTTGGGCCTGCTTTGTTTTCAACACAGGGCCCAGTTGCAGATGGTCTGCACCCACATTTATTGGCGCCGTGAAGGAGGAGATTGTATCAGTGGGACCCCGTTCGATTCGGGTCTGGGCAATGCTGGCAATAGACGACTTTTTATTTTCTTTCTGGCTGCCAGTAGCCCATTGTACCAGACTTGAACTGTAATGAAACCAAGCTCATTTGCAGATGGTCTGCACCCACATTCAATGGGACTGGGATAGCGAAATTGTATAAGTGGGACCCCGTTCGATTCGGGTCTGGGCAATGCTGGCAATAGACGACTTTTTATTTTCTTTCTGGCCACCAGTGATTTGGCCACAAATGCTTTGGGGAGGGTATGAGGGAAGGGACTGCTGGCTGGCAAAAAATCGGAGTCTCACATCTCTAGCGACCGACCGGGACTCGAACCCGGACCCTCAGCCGAATACTGTTCTAAAGAGTGCCAAACTCTTTGCTGATGCACTGACATTGTGCGATCGGTCGGTAGGTGAGAGGGCGATGTTGAGGTGTAAAGTAAAGTATTCAGGATTATGTATCTTTTCTGCCCGCACAGTATTCTTCAGCATAACCCCCGCTCTGGCTGCGACTGCCTGATGAGCCCTTCAGCCGCCGCCCACGGAACGCAACTTGCCCTGACAGAATTGCCGAAAACTGCGCGAATAACTTCGGTTGAGCGTTTGACTCTGCTTCATGCAAGGTTTTTGTCTGGTTCATGCCAAGTTTTTAAGGTCCGACCCGAGCGATCAAACTATCGCACGGGGTTTCAAACTGGCAGTTCACCCGAGCCGAAGAGGCTAGGTTTAATCATCTTGGCAGTGACCCCGCCACCTATACACTATTTGCTGGGAGTCCCTGCCAGATGGCACTGCTCGTTAATCTCAAGGATGTCGTTCGCCAGAAACTGCGCGAATGACTTCAATCGAGCGTTCGAATCTGACTGGTGCAAAGTTTTTGACGTCCGAACGGAGCGATCAAACTATCGCACTCGGTTTCCAACTGGCAATCAACCCGTGTGTTTGGAACCAACCGGGAATTGAGGCAATGCAGGGATTATTAACTTGGCTTCAAAAACGAATGCAATGTAAAGAGAAATGCACCTTTGTACCAGGGCGCATTCAACCCCTTACATGGGCTGCGGGTTTCATATACCAGAGCCGCTGAATTTCGACCAGGCTGGCTATAATAGACGTTTTTGGTCTGTACTCAATAAGCTTTTCCTCCAGGCCTTGAACAGGCCCAGTTGCAGATGGTCTGCACCCACATTCAATCAAACGTCAAGGTCAAACCATTTCAGGGGGACCCCGTTCGATTCGGGAGCTGGGCAATGCTGGCAATGAATTCATTTTTTTCCAACAGCGTGATTGGCACCACAATTTAACCCACTGGACCCAGAGTTGAACTGTAAGAAGAACAAGCCCAGTTGCAGATGGTCTGCACTTGCATTCAATGTCCGACAACGGTGATTATATGTGGGACCCCGTTCAATTCGATTGAATGTAGGTCTGTACAGGTCAGAAGCCTGGTTGCAGACGGTCTGCACCCATGAAAGTGTCAGGAGTTCTTCAATCTTTACAGTGGGTACCTGTTCGATTCCGGGCTAGGCAATAGACTTTTTGGAAGTCCTGCAACAAAATGTTCGAGTACTTGCCTGAAGGTGTATGCTGAGCGATTCAAGGCCTTTGAGAACCTGGGCTCAACAGTCAATCGCAAAAAACAAACGGACCTTCGTCCTCGGCACGAATCAAAACAGTCTTGGTGCGTCCCCGCAATGGTTCAGATTTTTCGCGAGCAAAATTGCTGACCCTCCTTTAGGCATTTACAACTAGCACAACTCCCGATGGCTCACAATACCCAGAAGCGTTATCTGCCACTGTATATGTAAACGGTTAGACGTCTGTTCGATTCAGACTCTGACCATATGAATGACCTGTCTGATGTTTCTTTTACACAGACAACCAAACCCGCGAGAGCCACGGTCTATCGCCTGTCCGCTTTGCTCCTGAGGACGTAGCAAATCTGTGTGTATCGCGACTCCTGCTCGTTATGTGACCCGGCGACTAATGCGAGGTTATTACACACCAGAAGGGACACCAGAATCCATTATGGCGCGTGCTCGTTGGATTGTGCCACTTTCGGTCCATTGGGTACTGGCGTGCATCCATTATGGTGTCTACGAAGTCGCAATCTCCATACCCCCAGCTTGGATCCAGTTCGTGGGCCGAGCCTATACGCATCCGACTCTACCTTTGGCGTATTCTACTGTTGATTCATGATTTAGCTCCTTCTCGAAGGAGTCGATTGCATTCGGCAAGACATCGGCGCGCCCCACATAGAGTGGGATTGAGGACAATGGAAGCGGTCCCCGCAACTCGACGGGTGGCCGTGCGGGTTATCGATGGCCATAAAATTGATAGCGGTACCCAGCCATAGAGAATGGGAGCAGATTCAAGACTCCTGCAAAGAGCAGATGCGAAAAGGGACGTTCGCGGCCTTGGTCAATCTTTGGTATGCACTTCCTCAATGAAATTCGACATGCTTGATTTGAATGCCTTGCCTTGCCTTGCCCGTAAGAAAGTATTGCCTGAAGATGAAAACGACGCAGAGACCGTTGAAATCACGGCTCAGACATTCTTTCGCCCGAGCCAGGCTAAAGGTGAAGTTCAACAGGAGGCGTCGCCAATCAATGATATTACCGACTCCCTGCCACAAGACTCCCACGTAGTATGAGACCTCCTTGCATTCGACATCCGCAAGGAATTCATAACCACGTTTTTCAGTGTCTACCTAGAACACGTCGCTGTCGATGAGCCCGGCCCTTCGACTAGTTCGGGAAAGAGACAACACGACGACGAACCTCCAAATTCGATGGACACTGGCGGCCCAAAGCTGCCGCAGAACTACAGGGAGCGCACGAAAGAATTGGAAGACAACGAGTGGGACTCAGCCTGACTGGACTGTGTACAAGGCACTTGTGCCCACATCACGGGAACTGTGAAAAGACGCAAACTGGACAAAAACTCTCTGAAGAATCCGGCGGGGCATTCGGTACTCACCCAGGCATATACCGGACTGATTCAAAGTCAAGCCACCTGGCGCTCCCTCAATCTCGACCTCCTTCCGCCGACAGTCGACGCCGTCCACATCTCAAGTTTTCCGAAAAGATGTAAAGCGGGAAATACAACTTATACGACGAAATTGTACAACACGGTACGCGCGATACTTCGCCATTCGCACCACGGCTCACTGTTCACAGACACCTTCGCTCGCTAGTCTGTTTGCTCCTCAGGGTCCCGGAGAAGCACCCTGCCCGCCACGGACCAAACGTCCGCCCCCCCCCCCCCCTTCCTGGCAGCAACCTGCGCGGCGCAAAGTGCCTACAATATATCTTGCGCACGCAAGCCCGCCCATTAGGCGGTGTTCCCTTGCAGTTCCGGTCCCGCACCATACGCCAAATCGCACCATGGAAGCCATACCCAAAGCTCGCTCAGACACGGGAAACCAAGGAGAGCAAAATCACCGTTGTGGATTCCACCGCGGTCTCGACGGAGATTTCTCGTGGGCGTAGTGAGCACGGCGAATACCAGGTTTGGATGGCTACGGAGGCAAATCTAGACTGCCTGTTGCGTGCATGGGCCCGATGGGAGGTTGACTACGTAGACGGGTGTGTCCGATCCACAACGTGCAAGGGAACGACTACGAACCCAGACCAAATATGCGAGGGGGTATCACGCTTTCCTGGGACCACTCCTTCAAGCATGCTGTTCGTAAGGTAAATGGTCTGCTCGACACATCTCCGCCGCTGACGTCGGGGAAGAAAACTGGCAAATCGGCAACGTCGACGCAGGCACAGTCCAAGATGAGCGAGGAGGGCGCGAAATACGCCCCATCCACGATGCTGGCGTTCGATGCCAATAAACTCCGCGCCAAGGTCGAAGATACCCTGGTCTTTGCGGCGTTCATGAGCTTGGAGCGCGGTGAAGATCTCGAGTCTTTCTTCGGCAGTCATATCCTGGGATCCACCCTGCCGTTGGAGGAGTGTCAAGTGGACGATGCGGGAGATATCGACGAAACGATTGACAAAATCCCCAAGAAGTAAGCGACGGCGCGTCAAGTACGGGCCATTCTGATCATAGTACATTTCTTTGCCAATACTCAACACGCTGTTTAACGCATCCCCAGAAGGGGTAAAGACACCGCAGTCGATCTCCACCAACTGCATCTCTGGCTCCTCAAAATGGCGGCCAACCTCGAGTCCCTGGTCCTCGACATACCGGTCGTATCGTTTGCTGTGGATGGTGCGGCTACAGAGCTTGGAGGACAGTTCATACTTGACACAGCTGAATATCGCGTGGCTCGCAATCCTCGTCCTCAGGCCCGCGCGACTAGGCCTGAAGCCTGACGCGACCCCGCCGGTCGTGTATTTCATCCTCCTGTCACATTCACGCCGTCACAACTCTTTGATTCCTACGATCATGGTACGATTTAGCTGGCCCGACACCGTTCCCTGGATCTCACAGCACCGCAGAATACCACCACCCCTACCCGCGCGAAGCCCGCTGCTGATATAACCCCTACCAGTGGGCCGGCTAACGGAAGGCCTCAGCTCGAGGGGGACAATCAGCTCCTCGACTGGTGAGCCCGCTGTCTACGGCTCAACTTGTCGCTGACGCACTTGGAATCGACACAGCCGCAATCGTCGTGGGCAACTGCTTGTGGACGCCATGGTGGCCAAAGAGCCCATGGCCACGAAGCGCCAAGGGCCACGTGCGACCGCCTTTTTGTGAGCCACCTTGCTCATATGCAGCGCGCCGATAATGAGCTTGCAACAGTTTTAGGAAAAGCTTCGGAACCATGGGGCCCGGTCGTAAGGCTGCGCCTGTCGGGTCGACGTGCGGGCCCGCGCCCTTGTTCCCTCGCTTGTAGAATTGCATACAAAACCATGTCGCACACCGTCTATTAGCCTGCAATTGACTTCATTTTGGCTAGCATGCATGCACACTGCAACTGTGAACGCCACTCTGGATTGCACGCTCGACCAGTGCACAACAAACAAACAACTGGCCAACAGTACCACACCTTGCCTTCCACTATGCGAAACCAGGCGACCCAGGACCAGCAAAAGATGTACAAACGCCTTGCACCTCGCAAGCTCTGGCCCACGTTGGAGGGCGAGCAGAGTCGCATAGACACCGACGAGGCAGAGCGCCGGCAGCGTCGGTAGGACCTTGGTTCGACAGTCAATCCCTCGTTACTCACAGTCACTGGCCCAGCTGGGCCAAGCATCTCGGCGCTGCGATGACCGACGAGGAGAAACGCGAGGTGCTTCGCTCTCGGTGAGTTATTACTGGTGAACCTTGAGCTCACGCCTGAGGCTCGCTAGTTTCGTCGAGCTGCTGTTGGCGGACGTTGATAAAGAAAGCAGATGAAGGGTGCGTCGCCAGTGCTTGTCTTGCCTCCACTGTCGACCTGACGTTAGCCACCCA